ACAGAGTTTTAGACCTTAGAAAATAATTGAAGTGTAGCTACTATGAAGAGCGTATGATCCAATGCACACAAGTAATTGCTATCTGGGGAATAGATGGGCTCTCTTCCCACTCCCAATTATCTCAGCTGACCTACAGTCTAACCTGGTGGAACCCACAAACAATATCTCCGAGTGATCATTAACTAGACAGAGCTTCAAGACAATCACAAACTTTGTTGGAGGCCTTGTTGCGTCAGCACATTCGATGTTTGGGGCTTAATATACCCAATCATATTCAGAGTAGAGACGATGTATTGGTATATGCAACCCTCATTTCCCATAGAATATTAATAATTTAGGAAGTTCATTGTAAAACCTTCCATGAGCAGCATTAAGTGCCTCTGATTCAGATGTCTTACAGACAGAACAGTCATAACAAACATTAACTTAGCATTTACTAATATCAGACAGTGTTAAATAATAATTTCATGTGTATTATAATCTAATTAATTCATATATTTATATTAAGGTATAGTTACTCTTATGATCAAATATGGTACACTGATTACCAACGTTTCTCTGTTGCTTCCTATATACACACCTTTGTATTTATTTTTTTTAATTTTCTTAAGTTTTTGTTTAAATTCCAGTTAGTCAACATAGAATGTAGTATTACTTTTAGGTGAACAATATAGTGATTCAACACTTCCATACAACACACAATGATCATCACAAGTGCATTCTTTAATACTCATCACCCCATCTACCCATTTAACTCATTCACCACACTCCTTCCCTCTGGTAACCATAAGTTTGTTCCCTGTAATTAAAAGTCTGTTTCTTGAGTTGCCTCAATGTTTATATATTTTTCCATCTGCTCCTTTGTTCTGTTTCTTAAACTCCACATATAAGTGAAATCACGTGGTATTTGTTGTTCTCTGACTGACTGATTTAGCTTAGCATAGTACTCTCCAGAACTATCCCTGTCATTCCACATGGCAAGTTGGATGCTTTTAATGGCTGAGTAATACTACATTATCCATTTATCAGTTGATGGACACAATTTATTTTGAAAGAGAGGGAGAGAGAGGGGGGAAGGGGCAAAAACAGAGGGACAGATTTTCCCAAGCAGTCTTTTGTTGTCAACACATAGCCCGATGCAGGTCTCCATCTCATGAAACATGAAATCATAACCTTTGCTGGGATCAAGAGACAGATGGTTAACCGACTGAGACACCCAGGCACCCCAACAGTCTTTATTTTAAAGTATTTTGTTTAAGTAATGATACCCCAGTTATTTTTCACATTCATTTACAAGTAATATCTTTTTCCTACCTTTTATTTTCAGTCTCTTTGTGTATTTAAGTGAAGTAATTTTTTAGAGCAGAAAGAGTTCTTATTATATTTTATATTTTATTTTATTTTATCTTTTATTTTATGTATTTTATTTTATTATTTCATAGCTTATTGCCAAGTTGGTTTCCATAAAACACCCAGTGCTCATCCCAACAAGTGCCCTCCTTCATACCTATCATTCTTTTTACCCTCTCCCCAAACACCATCAATCCTCAGTTTGTTCTCAGTATTTATGACTCTCTTATGGTTTCCCTCCCTCCCTCTCTTTAACTATTTCCCCTCCCCCATGGTCCTCTGATAATTTTCCCCTGTTCCACATATGAGTGAAAACATATGGTATCTGTCCTTCTCTGCTTAACTTATTTCACTTACAACAATCTCGAGTTCCATCCACGTAGCTACAAATGGCCAGATTTCATTCTTTCTCATTGCCGTGTAGTATTCACTTGTATAGATAAACCACATCTTCTTGATCCATTCGTCAGCTGATGGACATTTAGTCTGTTTCCATGATTTGGCTATTGTTGAAAGTGCTGCTATAAACATTGGGGTACATGTGCCCCTATGCATCAGCACTGCTGTTTCCCTTGGGTAACTTCCTAGGAGTGCTATTGCTGGGTCCTAGGGGAGTTCTATTGTTAATCTTCTGAGGGACCTCCACACTGTTTTCCAGAGGGACTGCACCAGATTCCATTCCACCAACAGTGTATGAGGGTGCCCATTCTCCACATCCTTGCCAGCATCTAGAGTCTCTTAATTTGTTCATTTTAGCCACTCTGACTGGTGTGATGTGGGATCTCAGTGTGGTTTTGTTTTGCATATTCCTGATGACGAGGGACGCTTAACATCGTTTCATGTGTCTGTTGGCCATCTGGATGTCCTGTTTGGAGAAGTGTCTGTTCATGTCTTCTGCCCATTTCCTCACTGGATTATTTGTTTTTGGGGTGTGGAGTTTGGTGAGTTCCTTATAGATTTTGGATACTAGCTCTTCATACGATATGCCATTTGCAGCTATATTTCCCATTCTTTTGGTTGCCTATTTGTTTTGTTGCTTATTCCTTTTCCCCTGCAGAGGCTGTTAATCTTGATGAAGTCCAAATAGTTCATCTTTGCTCTTGATTCCATTGCATTTCGAGATGTGTTGAGAAAGAAATTGCTGTGGTTGAGGTCAAAGAGATTGTTTTCTGCTTACTCCTCTAGGGTTTTGATGGTTTCTTGTCTCACAATCAGATCCTTCATCCATTTTGAGCTTATTCTTGTGTATGGTGTAAGAAAGTGGTCTAGCTTTATTCTTATGTATGTTGCTGTCCAGTTCTCCCAGAACCATCTTTTATAGAGGCTGTCTTTTTTTCCATTGGATACTCTTTTCAATTTTGTCAAAGATTAGTTGGCCATACATTTGTGGGTCCAATTGTAGGTTCTCTATTCCATTCCATTTGTCTATGTGTTTGCTTTTGTGCCAACACCATACTGTCCTGATGAATAAAGCCTTGTGTTAGAGACTAAAGTCTGGGGTTGTGATGCCTTCCGTTTTGGATTTCTTCTTCAATATTGTTTTGGCTATTCTGGGTCTTTACTGGTTCCATACAAATTTTAGGATAGTTTGTTCTAGTTTTGAGAAGAATGCTGGTGCAATTTTGATTGGGATTGCTTTGAATGTGTAGATTGCTTTGGGTAGTATTGACATTTTAACAATATTTATTCTTCTGACCCATGAGCATGGAATGTTTTTCCATTTCTTTGTGTCTCCTCCAATTTCCTTCATAAGGTTTCTATAGTTTTCATTATACAGATCTTATACATCTTTGGTTAGGTTTATTCCTAAGTATTCCATGTTTTTTTTTTTTTTGTGCAATTGTGAATGGGATCAGTTTCTTGATTTCTTTTTCTGTTGCTTCATTATTGATGTATAAAAATGCAACCAATTTCTGTACGTTGATTGTGTACCCTGCGACTTTACTGAATTCCTGGATCAGTTCTAGTAGGCTTCTTATGGAGTTTGTTAGGTTTTCTATGTAAAGTATCATGTCTTCTAGGAAAAGTGAAAGTTTGACTTCTTCATTGCCAATTCTGATGCCTTTGATTTCATTTTTTTTTTGTCTGATTGCTGATGCTAGGATTTCCTGCACTATGTTTAACAACAGTGGTGAGAGTGGACATCGCTGTTGTGTTCCTGATCTCAGGGGAAAGCTCTCAGTTTTTCCCCATTGAGGATGATATTAGCTGTGGGCTTTTCAAAAATGGTTCTTTTGATTCTTACGTATGTTCCTTCTGTCCCGACTCTCTTGTGGGTCTTTATTAAGAAAGGATCTTATATTTTGTCAAATGCTTTTTCTGCATCTATTGACAGGATCATATGATTTTTATCTTTTCTTTTTTTTTGTAATATATTGACTTTTTTCCCTTTTAAATAGTTTATTGTCAAGTTGGTTTCCATATAACACCCAGTGCTCATTCTCACAAGTTCTTTGGTTAATGTCATGCATCGCACTGATTGAATTGCAAATACTGAACCAGCCCTGTAACCCAGGAATGAATCCCACTTGATCATGGTGGATAACTCTTTTTATGTGCTGTTGAATTCAATTTGCTTGTGTCTTATTGAGGTTTTTTGCATCCATATTCATCAGGGATATTTGCCTGTAGTTCTCTCTTTTTGCTGGTTCTCTCTGTTTTGGGAATCAAAGTGATGCTGGCTCCGTAGAATGGGTCTGGAAGTTTTCCTTCAATTTCTACTTTTTGGAATAGCATGAGAAGAATGGGTATTACCTCTTATTTAAATGTCTGGTAGAATTTCCCAGGAAAGCCATCTGGTCCATGGCTCTCATTTGTTGGGTGATTTTTGATAAGTGATACAATTTCCTCACTAGTTATGAGTCTGTTTAGATTTTCTATCCCTTCCTTTTTGAGTTTTAGTCCTGTGTGTGTGTTTAGAAATTTATCCATTTCTACTAGGTTGTCCAGTATGTTGGCAAATATTTTTTCATAGTATTCCCTGATAATTGCTTGCATTTCTGAGGGATTGGTTGTCATAAGTCCATTTTTATTCTTCAGTTTGTCTGTTTAAGTGTTCTCTGTTTTCTTTTTGAGAAGTCTGGCAAGTGGTTTTTCAATTTGGTTTATTATTTCAATAAAACAACTCTCGGTTTCATTGCTCTGTTCAAATGCTTTTTTTAAAAAAAATTCTATATTGTTTATTTATGCTCTGATCTTTACTTTTTCTCTTCTTCTGCTGGTTTTGGGGTGCTCTTACTGCTCTACTTCCAGACCATGTAGGTGTGTTGTCAGCTTTTTAAATTTTTTTCTAATATTTTATTTATTTCAGAGAGAGAGACAGCGTGAGCAGCAGAGAGCCAGAGAGAGGGAGACACAGAATCTGAAACCGAGACTAGGCTCTGAGCTAGCTGTCAGCACAGAGCCCAATGCAGGGCTCAAACCCACAAACTGTTGAGATCATGACCAGAGCTGAAGTCAGACACTCAACCTACTGAGCCACCGAAACGACCGTGCTGTTAGATTTTGTATTTGTGCTTTTTCTAGTTTCTTGAAAATGTCCTGAATGCAATGTACCTTCCTCTTAGGACAGGCTTCTCTGAATCCCAAAAAGGTTGGGTTGTTCGATTTTGATTTTCTTTTGTCTCCGTATTTTTGAAATTTATTCTCTAGTGCTCACTTCGGTAGCACATATACAAAAATTGGAAGGATACAGAGATGATTAGCATGGCCCATGCATAAGGATGACACGCAAATGCGTGAAGCTTTCCATATTTCTAAACCACGCCCAATCCGTCCAGATAGCTGTTTTGTTGTTGTTGTTGTAGCTGTTTTAACCTGAGCTTGGGTTTCCGTGTGTATTGGTTTTGTCTATGTGTTTGTGTACCTGTGCCCCCTCTGTGCTTGTCTGTTTTCTTTTTCCAGAGCTGCCTCAAGAAACAAGCCAAACTAAACATGGTGAAGAGTTCCAAATACCACTACCTGTAGGGAAACAAAATAACCAAACGCTCAACAAGAGAACCAAGAGACACCATCCAAAGAACACTTCCTTAATAGACAGGCCCTAAACAGTCAAAAGAGCCCTCTCTAATACAGCAGAACTTGCAGGGGCCATGTGTACAACAAGCTTTTAAAAGTAACAAGAGATAGATAACAAACCAAAATGACGAAACGGAAGAATTTTCCTCCAAAGAAACTCCAGGAAGAAATGACAGATAGAGAACTGCTCAAACCAGATATAAGCAACATAACTGAACAAAAATTTAGAACAATAATCGTAAAATTAATCGCCGGGCTTGAAAAAAGCATGGAGGATATCAGAGAAATTATGACTACAAACACTAAGGAGCTTAAAAATATTTATAATGAATTAAAAAATGTGATGAATGAGATACGTAATACACTGGAGGCATTCAATGCAAGGATTGAAGAGGCAGAAAGGAGAATAAGTGATTTAGAAGACACTATTATAGAAAAAGAAGAAACTGAGAAAAAGAGGAATAAACTGATCCAGGAACATGAAGGAAGAATTCGAGAGCTCAGCGATACTATCAAACAGAACAATATCCATATCATAGGAATTCCAGAAGAGGAAGAGAGAGGGAAAGGTGCTGAAGGAGTCCTGGAACAAATTATAGCAGAGAACTTCCCCAACCTGGAGAGGGAAGTAGACGTTGAAATTCAAGAGGCACAGACTACTCCCCTCAGCCGTAACTTGAATGGATCATCTGCAAGACATATCATAGTGAAACTTGCAAAATCTAAGGACAAAGAGACCATTTTGAAAGAGTCCAGGGAAAAAAGGGTCCTAACATACAAAGGGAAATCTATCAGAGTGGTCACAGACCTCTTTACTGAAACTTGGCAGGCCAGAAAGGAATGGCAGAACTTCATGTGATGAACGAAAAAATATGCAGCCAAAAATCTTCTATCCAGCAAGCCTGTCGTTCATAATAGAAGGAAAGATAAAAGTCTTTCCATATAAACAAAAATTGAAAGACTTTTCCACCATTAAACCAGCCCTACAAAAAATCCTGAGGGGGTCTCTCTGAGGGAAGTGTTTCAAGGACTGTAAGATACCAGAGACACCACATGAATCCCACAAAGGACACAATGACTCTAAACCCACATATTTCAATAATAACACTGAATGTAAATGGGCTGAATGCTCCAATCAAAAGACATAGTGTAGCAGAATGGATAAAAAAAACAAAATCCATCTATTTGCTATCTACAAGAAATGCATTTAGACTGGAAGACACCTTCAGATTAAAAGAAAGGGGATGGAGAAATATCTATCATGCTATGGGAAGTCAAAAGAAAGCTGGAGTAGCTCTACTTCTATCAGACAAACTGGACTTTAAATTAAAGAAAATAACAAAGGATGAAGAAGGGTATTATATAATAATTACAGGGTCTATCCATCAGGAAGAACTAACAATTGTAAATGTCTACACACCGAATATGGGAGCACCTAAATATTTAAAACAATTAACCACAAACAGAAACAATCTTATGCAAAAGAATATGCAAATAGTAGGGGACTTTAATAGCCCACTTACAGCAATGGATAGATCAACCAGACAGAAAATCACTAAAGAAACATTAGACTTGAATGACACATTGGACCAGATGGATCTGACAGATATATTTAGAACTCTACATCCTGAGGCCAGGGAATTCACTTTCTTCTCAAGTGCACATGGCACATTCTCCAAGATAGATTACATACTGGGACACAAAGCAGCCCTCAATAAATATAAAATAATTGAGATCATAGCATGCACACTTTCAGATCATAATGCTTTGAAACTTGAAATCAATCACAGGAAGAAGTCTGGAAAACCACCAAAAACATGGAGGTTAAAGAACACTCTACTAATGAATGAATAGGCCAATCAGGCAATTAGAGAAGAAATTAAAAATTATATGAAACAAATGAAAATGAAAATAAAACAATCCAAACTCTATGGGATGTGGCAAAGGCAGTCCGAACAGGAAAGTACATTGCTCTCCAGGCCTATTTCAAGAAACTAGAAAATGCCCAATTGCAAAATATAGCAGCTCACCTAAAGTAACTAGAGGAGAGCAACAAGAGCACCCCAAACTCAGTAGAAGAAGAGAAATAGTAAAAATCAGAGCAGAAATAAACAACATAGAGACCAAAGAAACAATTGAACAGATCCATGAAACCAAGAGTTGTTTTTTTGCAAAAATAAACAAAATTAACAAAACTCTAGCCGGGTTTCTCAAAAAAAAAGAGACCACCCAAATAGACAAAATCATGAATGAAAATGGACTTATTACAACCAACCCCTCAGATACAAGCAATTATCAGGGAATACTATGAAAAATTATATGCCAACAAACTAGACACCTTAGAAGAATGGACAAATTTCTAAACACAGACTCACTACCAAAATTCACACAGGAAGAGATAGAAAATCTGAACAGACCCATAACGAGTGAAGAAATCGAATCCGTTATCAAAAATCTCCCAAACAATTAGAGCCCTGGACCTGATGGCTTCCCTGGAGAATTCTACCAGAAACTTAAAAAGGATTAATACCCATTCTTCTCAAGCTATTCCAAAAAATAGAAATCGAAGGAAAACTCCCGGACTCATTTTATGAAGCCAGCATCACGCTGATTCCCAAGCCAGACAGAGATCCAGCAAAAAAAGAGAACTACAGGCCAATATCCTTGATGAATACGGTTGCAAAAATCCTCAACAAGATACTTGCAAATTGAATCCAACAGCACATAAAAAGAGTGATCCACCAAGATCAAGTGGGATTCATTCCTGGGTTATAGGGCTGGTTCAACATTCGCAAATCAATCAGTGTGATCCATCACATCAACAAAAGAATAGATAAAAAGCATATGATCCTGTCGATAGATGCAGAAAAAGCATTTGACAAAATACAGCATCCCTTCTTGCTAAAGACTCTCGAGAAAGGTGGGATTGAAGGAACTTACTTAAACATCATAAAAACCATCTATGAGAAGCCCTCAGCGAACATCATCCTCAACGGGGAAAAACGGAGAGCTTTCCCCCTGAGATCAGGAACAAGACAGGGATGTCCTCTCATCACTGTTGTCTAACATAGTGGTGGAAGTTGTAGCATCAGCCATCAGACAACAAAAGGAAATCAAAGGCATCAGAATTGACAAAGAGGAAGTCAAACTTTCAGTCTTCGCAGATGACATGATACTCTACATCGAAAACCCGACAGACTCCACCAGAAGCCAACTAGAACTGATCCAAGAATTTAGCAAAGTTGAAGGGTAAAAAATCAATGTGCAGAAATCGGTTGCATTCTTATACACCAAAAATGAAGCAACAGAAAGAGAAATAAAGAAACTGATCCCATTCACAATTGCACAAAAAAAGCATAAAGTACCTAGGAATAAACCTAACCAAGGATATAAGAGATTTGTGTGATGAAAACTATAGAAAACTTATGAAGGAAATTGAAGAAGACACAAAGAAATGAAAAAATATTCCATGCTCATGGATTGGAAGAATAAATATAGTTAAAATGTCATTATTACCCAAAGCAATCTACACATTCAATGCAATCCCAATCAAAATTGCACCAGCATACTTCTCAAAGTTAGAACAAAGTATTTTAAAATTTGTATGGAACCACAAAAGACCCCGAAGAACCAAATTAATATTGAAGAAGAACCTCTACTACAAAGCTGTCATCGTCAAGACAGCATGGTATTGGCACAAAAACAGACACATAGACCAATGGAATAGGATTGAGAACTCAGAATTGGAATCACAATTGTATGGCCAACTAATCTTTGACAAAGCGGGAAAGAGTACCCAATGGAAAAAAGACAGCCTCTTTAACAGATGGTGCTGGGAGAACTGGACAGCAACATGCAGAAGAATGAAACTAGATCATTTTCTAACACCATACACAAAAATAAACTCAAAATGGATAAAGGACCTGAACGTGAGACAGGAAACCATCAAAACCCTAGAGGAGAAAGCAGGAAACACCTCCTTGACCTCCACCGCAGCGATTTCTTACTTGATACATCCCCAAAAGCAAAGAATCAAGAGTAAAAATAAACTGTTGGGACCTCATCAATATTAAAATCTTCTGAACGGCAAAGGAAACAATTCATAAAACTAATAGGCAACGGACAGAATGGGAAAGGATAGTTGCAACTGACATATCAGATAAAGGGTTAATATCCAAAATCTATTAGGAACTCACCAAACTCCACACCCAAAAAACAAACAACCCAGTGAAGAAATGCGGATACAATATGAACAGACACTTCTCCAAAGAGGACATCCAGATGGCCAAGAGACACATGAAACAATGGTCAGCGTCCCTCCTCATCAGGGAAATACAAATCAAAACCACACTGAGATACCACCTCACACCAGCCAGAGTGGTTAAAATGAGCAATCCTGAGGACTCTAGATGCTGGCGAGGATGTGGAGAAATGGGCACCCTCTTACACTGTTGGTGGAAATGTAAACTGGTGCAGCCCCTCTGGGAAACTGTGTGGAGTTTCCTCAAAAAATCATCAATAGAACTCCACTATGACCCAGCAATAGCACTGCTAGGGATTTACCCAAGGGATATAGTAGTGCTGATGCATAGGAGCACATGTATCCCAGTGTTCATAGCAGCACTCTCAACAATAGCCAAAACATGGAAAGAGACTAAGTGTCCATCAACAGACGAATGGATCAAGAAGATGTGGTTTATCTATACGATGCAATACTACATGGCAGTGAGAAAGAATGAA